TACATTTGGAGACAGATTCCTTGGCTCCAGTGACTTTTCAGTAGAAATGTCAACTTTGTCATTTTCTTCCGGATGAGTAGCATCTCTAATTACTAAGTATGTGGGGGCTGAAAATTACAGATGCTCTTTTGGAAATGAAACTTCAAAGATGATTTTGATGAGATTGCAATGTAGCTTACCCTACATGACTGGTCTCTTATTGTATAAGTTTGAGCAAGTTTCCAAAGTGGAGTGGAAGCAAGCTAGAGAAAGTAAAGCAGCTCATGCTCACACCAGACCTTCGTCAAGTGGCAGTGGAATTGGATGTTGCTGGTGCTGCATCAGTGGTCTAGAGAGAAGGTCCCTGGAGAATTTAAGACATTGTTTACAAATATTCTCATTTATTCACATTTTTTCGTATTTTTAAAAGCATGAGAGAGTTCCTTTTTGGTATATTGATCAAAGATGTAACTGACCAGTACTAAAATAGAATGACCAGCTGTAAGTGCTGCCAGCTAGCTCACCTGTATAAATAGAATAAATTTATATAACGTGTAAGACAGAGTTCTGTGTAAATGGAATGCATAGGCTAATGAAAAAAGCACACAGAAGAGAGAATTTACCCAATCCCATAGTTTTAATTATGTGGGAAATATCATGTTTTATTTTTTAATAGAATAATATTATCAGCATAAATGTGATGTATAGATGGATTGTCTTGGAAATGAAATCTCCAGTGGTGAGCTTCCTCTGGTAGAAGAACTCTCATCCAATTGCTCACTGACTGGTGCTCTTTGCAGCAAGCAGGTGACTTCAGAGTATGACACACTTAAGAAGTTCGTGGAGCTGTGGCAGAAATGTGACGTGAATCAGGCTGATGCCCTTGCCTCAGCACACCTGGACAGGTGTACTTGGAAAGCATCTAGGGGATGCCAACTCCTTAGGGTTACTTTTAATTCTTCCTGAACCATAGAGAAGATTAATGCTACTGGAAATGGAAATGGTTTCATTTGATGCATTTCTGAAGCTCTGTTGTTAGCATTCCGAGTGAACCTTTTAGATAAAAAGCTCTTAGTGGGAAAACAGAAAAGCTGTTATTAGGCTACCTTTAAACCTTTCCTCCTTTTCTGTTTCAATTTAGAGATTTAAAATGCCCTTTTGTTTCCACCCCTTGGCTTGTTTCACTTTTATTCTTGCTAAAAGGAATAGCTGCTTAGAAGGTAAGAAATAAATCAATGGGTGATTTCTTTTCTTAAGCATCTGACAGTTTCCTTAATGTAGATAAGAAATTGATTTAAAAAAAATCTTGAGTGTGATTTTGCTTTGGGGTTTGAGTTAAAAGTATAAGGTAGCTCTGATTCCAACAGTGGAACAGAAAATTTATTTTATTTTAGATCTAGAGAAGATCTTAAAATGATTTAATCAAGTCATCATTTTAATAGATGAGCAAAGTGAGACTCAGAAAGGCAAAGTATCTTTTCCAAGGTCATACAGCTAGATGGTCATGGTGCTGGATCCACTCCTGACCAACCCATGCACTGATTGGCTCATGAACACTAGTCATAAATATTTATGGTTGTTTGTGGTCATATTCCTTCTGCTACCCTCCTTGCCATGCCTCCAGCCTCCTTTACCTTTTCCCAACCTTCTCACTTCTGTTCCCATTTATATGGTTCTGTGATCTCCATTCCCCAATCCTGCCACGGCCTCTAGTATTTGGGACATCCTTTCTAGTCGTACTAGTTTGATACTTGCCATGCTCTCTGATTCTCATTGCCCCTGCTGCCTCATGTAGGGGTTCCCTGCTCCAATTCCAGCTCTGCAGAACCTAAGCCCAATTTAGACCATCAGCTACCATGCTGGCTGTACTATTACCCTCTGGTCCTGGAGTCCATTTGCTTTGGTCAAAGCACATTTAACTGGTAGCTGGGAAATTTTTCAGCATACAAAAGACACTTTCTCTCCTTCTCACGTTCTGGCATCCTTCATGACTTGTCATTTCTTCTTTGGAAATTTGATGAAAAGGAGCTGTGAGCAGGGCTGTCCTGAGAACAGCACATTAAGAGCTGTTAATGTGTTCATATGTTAAAATCCTCCCTGCAAATGTGCCATTTTAAGGGCCTTCTAAAAATTGATTTACCCCAAAGAGTGATATTGGGGACAAAAATTTCCAGGCAGTGCTAAAAGTGTCTGTTCAATTTGAGCCATCTGAGACCCCCTCAAGTTGCAACATTTAACACAACTCTGAGGTGCAAGGTTTGGTTAAAGGGCTTTGAACTTGCAATGGAGAGACCTAGATTTGAGTCCTACCTCTGCTGCTTGCTCCCTGTTTGTCCTAAGCTGGATCTCCAAGACCCTGTGAGTTGTCATTTTTACATTTGTGAAGTGGAGGAAAAAATACCTGCCTTTTGGCCCCCACTGAAAGGCTGGTTAAGATAAAATAGATCTAATTCCTTCATCACTTGACTCCTGAATTCTTGCCTGTTTTTCCTTCCTGGCCATTCTTCCTTAGTCCTTCCTCCTAGTTCTCTCTTTTCTGACTACTTACATATAACATGCCCAATAGTCAATAATCAATTATATTCTCTTACCACCTTTGAGAAATTACCTATAGCTGGTGGCCATCCGTTCATATTTCCAGACCTAAACTCTCTCCTAAGCTTTGTGTCTGTACCTTCTGCACCTGGACGTGTTATGGGCAGATCAAATAGAGTATGTCCACAGCTGCTGTTACTGTCTTTTCCACCACCACTTGCTCATGCCCTGACACGTTCTAATTTGGTCAATTATATCACCATGTACTAAGTCAGCCAAGCTGGGCTCATTTATTTAATTAGAACTTATCAAGTACCTACCCTATACTCAGTCAGTGTCCATCATTTTAATCTCTTACCGTACAGTCAATGAGTGAGTTCTTCCTTTATGCCTCTCAAATCAGTCTTCTCTCCCTTCTTCCCAATGTCTCTGACTTCATTCGCTTTTATCTGGATTTTTGGCTCCCAGCTAGATCTTTGCGTGCAGTTTTCAACCTTCCTCCAAGACATTCTCAACATTGCCATGTAATTAATCTTCCTAAAACATAGATCTTATTTTTTTGCCCCAAATATTTTTGGGTATCCCATCCCTTATATGATTGAGTTCAAACCTTGTAGCATATTCAGATACCTTCATAGGGCTGGGTATAACTACTTTTCCAGCTTGTTCTAGCTTTAGATTTCCCCCAGATATCTCATACTCTATCCACATGCAGCCTTGACACCTCTGGCTTTGATCATGCAACCCATTGCCAGTAATTCATTCAAAAACCATTTACTTAGAATCTACTATTGCTAGGTGCTCTCGTAGATTCTGGAGTTATAGCAGTGAACGAGCTACTCAAGATCCTTGACTCCTAGAATATATAATGTGGAAGACCAACAAAAGACAAGTTACAATCTATTTATGTTTATATGTAAAGCAGTTTTAGAAAGTTCTCTGAAGTCAAAAAAAAAAAAACAAAAAAAACAAGTGTATCATAGGTAGTGAGGAGGTGAGGATGGGAGGCTACTTTTGAATGTGTGGCCAGGGAAGTCATTCCTAAGGAACTGACACTGGACAGGAGGCCTGAGCCAGCCACATGAAGATCTGGGGGGCAGTGGTGTATTCCAGGAAGAGAGAAGAGCAAACGTTGAGGCTCTAAAGTAGGAAAAGGCTTGGTGTATTGGAAGAACACATGTCTTACGTGATTGGGCTCCTGCTGGCCTCTTTGATTTCATTTACCATCTATTTCAGTGTCACTTGGTGTTTCAGTCACACAGCTGATCTTGATGTTCAAGCCTATATTGAAGCCCTTAACAGGCTGCCTTATCATGTTACGCTGACTCCTACTTCCATTAAAATTTCAGTTCCTTGAGATCAGTGACTTTTCATCTTTGTCCCCAAGAGCCTGACACATAATAAGGCTCAGGAAATGTTTCCTGGCCAATGAGATAATTCATCTACAGTGATTTGTAAACCAGAAAGTCTATAATCTAGTTAAAAATAAATATCAGAAATGTTTCATAAATGTAATTAAGTGCGATATTCTTAATGATTCCTACAAAGACAAAAATGAAAAGTATAAGTAAGGCCATTATTCATTCAGCAAACATTTATGTGAACACCTGCTATGTGTCATGGTGTCTGTTTCTGGCAAAACAAGAATGAATAACATGTCCTCAACTTTCCACCCACTGAACCCTAGGAGCTCAGTCAGTTGGAGAAGCCACATTTCAGGGTTGTAAATGAAGTTTAAGCAAAATATAATGGGATTTACCAAAATTCAAATTTCTTAAGATGTATTTTTCTCCCTTTTGAATAATCTGGGGACAGGGCCAAAAAGAATGTGTTACAAAAGTCATGGGCCCTTGTGCATTGTAGTGACACATTGATAAAGATTTAGAATAATGGGTAGAAAAGAGACAATTTGTTTATTGTTCAGACAGTGCATGAAGATTCTTCAGTATTCAGACACAGTGTTTTTTTTTTTTTTTTTTTTTTTTTTTTTTTTTATTTTTTGGTTTTAAACCATTTTTTTATTTTTTTTTCTGTCAAATTAACCATTCCTGGCTAATTTTCTAAGTCCTACTGAGAAAGAAAAAGGTAACATTATTACTCACCTAGCCATGGTTCTTTAGAAACTGTATTAAACCAGTGTGGACCTTCTGGTCTCTGCCATTCCCTAATATGACGTATTTCCTGCTGGCCGTGTCACTGCTCATGACACTTCCTCATCCATCATGCTGCCTGTGAATACGGACTTCCAATGACTCTCTTAACTTGTGCTGTGGTTTGAATGTGGCCCCCAAAGTTCATGTGTTAGAAAATCACCAATGTTGAATTACTGGGAGGTGGGGTTAGCCTAATAGGTGATTAGGTCGTGATGGCTCTTCCCTCATAAATGAATTAATGCCATTCTCATGGGAGTGGGTTAGTTATAAAAGCGAATTTGGAACCCTTCTTGCTCTCTCCCTCTCTCACACCCACTTGCGCTTCTGCCATAGGATGATGTTGCAAGAGAACTCTTGCCAGATGCTGGCACCTTGATGTTGGCACCAGCCTCCAAGACTCTGAAAAGTAAGTTTATTTCCTTTACAATTACTGAGTCCATGATATTCCGTTACAACAACACAAAATGGACTAAGATAGATTGTTAAGGTGCTTTTTAAATGATGGTCACAGATACAAGTCTTGCTTGGAGTATCTAGGAAAATATGAATGATAATTCATTTTCTATTCGAGATAATTCACCATTCAGAATTTTATAATGTAAAATTTGTAAGAACAACACATCTTGCAGTTCTCTTAAATTCTTTAGGCTATATGCTGAAAGAGAATGTGATCTCTTTCAATGTTGACCATGTTCTGGTCCCTCACCCGGGGCCCACTTGTGGACTGAAAGTAGTAGTTTCGTTTATGTAAGGAATGTCTATTTCTTGTCTGGCATGCCTTCAGACTGACCCAAGAGGGTACAACATTACCCCATCAATTAGAGGCAAGAGAGGACATTAATTGGAGGGGCTTGTAGAATTTTTGGAGCAACAATCTCAAATGCCTTCAGGAGGTGCAGCCACTCCCCACAGACTGCCTACAATGTGGCGTGGAACCTTTGGAAGAGGCAGAGTGACTGCCATGGGTGCCAGCAATAGGGGATGCTCAGGATACAGAATGCCTGGCATTACCCACCCCCATCACCCAGATACTGTGGACTGAACGTGGCAACTCGTGATAAGGATAGCCAGTGCATACGAGGCCTGCACACCAAGTCTAAGCCTAAGAGTTGGCTTTGGACCATTGGGTAGTCCAGAGTCCTGAACTCAACCGTTGTTTGGTGTGAGTGAGTCACTCAAAATAAGCATGTTAACACCATTCTACTGGCCCAATCTTATCCTGTGAAAGAAATATGCCAGCCAGTGTAAGTGTCCTAAACCCTAGGATGACCCATATATGGGAGTTAGGTAGCTCCCTACTGCGTCTGATCAACCTCTTACATGGGGTTACTGGGGTCCATGTGGGTCCTGGTTTGGGTTTGGAGCTTCCTGCCTAGGATGGTGTTGCTGGTCTGTACCAATTCTAGGCATCTGAATAGAGCTCAGATTTTTCAGAAAAAGATTCCAAAGTGTGTACCCCTGGGAAAGGGCCTTGCTTGCTGCCCAAGGTGGTACTGTCTGGACAGATGTCTCCGCTCTCCATTGTTTTATTTTCTAGGTAGGTTTGTGTTTCTCAGCCTTGACTTCACATTACCATTACCTGGAAAACTTGCTAAAAATAGCCTAAGAATTACCCCTAGAGATTTTGATTTCAGTGGTCTAGGATTGGGACTGGGCCTGTGAATATTTTTAAAGCCTTCCAGGTAATTCTAATGGGCCATCAGGTTTGAAAATTAGTAATATAGACAACAGCTCATTGGATCTTATAAGGAAAGTGCCTCTGAGGGGACAGGACTGCCTTGAAGGTATGCAGGGAACTCTGCTTTCTGGACAGGAAGAACTGCTCCATACTTAAGCAAGTGCCTTAGTAATACTGGCTGAGGGAAAGGACACTGAGATATTTTCCCAATTCAGTTATGTATAATATGTAACTGTTGCAGATCTTCTCTGGAGCAGACATTTTTGTCAGCTGTTGATAATACAAGGTTGACAAAGGCAGGTTCCTTTGCCCTAATAGTGAATATTCTAGTAAAGGAAGCAGACACATGTACAGGCTATTTCAACTGGATGAAGTAGGTGCTGTCATGGAGGTAAAAGAAAGAGTGATAAGAGAACTTAGATAAATTTGGGGGCTTGGGAATAGCAAAGGATGTATAGGATGTGGCCAGGTGAAGTGCTGTTCTCTAGGCACAGATTTTTCTACCAGCAGTGATGAATATGTGGCAAAGTATGATGTGTATATTGTGCCTCAAAGAGCTTGTGGAGACTGGAACATCCACTGTGAGGAAGCAGTGGAGAGAGAAGAGGCTGGAGAAGGGGGTGGGGTACAGGTTGTAGAGGGTTATAATGGTGATGCCAAAGCCTGGATGGAGCCTTAGCTGAGAAGAATTTTGAACAGTTTATTGAGCAGAATGCCAAGGTTGGATTTGCATTTGTGGTGGGGGGTGGGGAGTTAAGGGGTTTGAGGGTATCAGCTTCAAAGAGACCCATTAGAAGACCTCTGCAAAAGTCCACGTGATAAATGATAAGGACGTGAACCACAGTTGGTGAGAATAGTGATAATCTGGAGGGGGTTGAGCAATTTCTTGATGGCAAACTCTCAGTGCATGACTGCTTGGGTGGTGAGGAAAAAGGGAGGGAGGATTCTGGAAGGACCAGTGTTTTAGTCTGGGTGACAGGATTTATGGTGCTGTAGGAGCATGGAAGAAGAATAGCTTCTAGAAGGGCTTTGTCCCTGTGGTATTTGAGGTGCCCGTAAGACTTTCAGTCTGTTTCTAAATAGACCTTAAACGTAGACTGTATTGTGTGGGGAAAGCATGGTGTTTGGAGACTCCATCCTTTGACTTCAGTGCTTCTCTCAAACTCAGTAGCTGGTGAGGAAATTAAGGGTGAGAAATCCATTTCCTGAGAGAATTTTTTTTTTTTTCATTAAAATCCTCTGCACAAGACAGAAAAAAATTCACGTCACAGTTCTTTGTAAGCTCTCGTCATGCTATTGTGGTTAATCGAGACTAATAATTTTCTTTTATTTCTTAGAATTAATAAGAAGTTGTGCATTTATTTTGCAAATGCTATTTAAGAGGGAAGCATGGTACTGAGGCCAATTTAGTAGGAGCTTAGAACTCCACTATTTTCATTAACAAATGAGAATTTCTGTTTTTTGCCTGAAGTAATTAAGTTCCTGAAAGCATAATCATTTTGCATGTTACACCAAGAACGGAATTCCTGATGAAAATGCTAAGTACCTGTATCCCCCACTCTCATAATAAATTGAAATGTTACCCCCTCATTCTCAGCAGATCACGCGTAATTAGCAGTGTGCGAGGGAAGAGAATTGTTTGGGCTGCTGCAATATATCAAGAGAAAAATCATCTTTAATTAAAAAAAGATAAATATGGCCGGGCATGGTGGCTCACGCCTATAATCCCAGCACTTTGGGAAGTCAAGGTGGGTGGATCACCTGAGGTCAAGAGTTTGAGACAAGCCTGGCCAATGTGGTGAAACCCCATCTCTACTAAAAAAACAAAACAAACAAACAAAAAAAACAAAAGTTAGCTGGGTGTGGTAGCAGGCACCTGTAATCTCAGCTACTTGGGAGGCTGAGGCAGGAGAATCACCTGAACTCGGGAGGTGGAGGTTGCAGTGAGCCAAGATCGTGCTGTTGCACTCCAGCCTGGGCAACAGAGCCAGACTCCATCTCAGAACAAAAGCAAACAAACAAAAAACACAGTAAAATAAAACAAAACAAAACAATACAAAACCACGTATATACAAAATGTTTGAATAAACAATTTTTGAATAATACTCTAAAAAAGGAACATGTTCTGCTGAAGAAGAGATAATATAAAATCTGTTAGAGTGAAAAAGTCACAGGGCAAATTAAACCTTGAAGACAAAATAAGAATGTTGTTCTTGATAAACATGTGTGAACCTCACTACGTAGGAGACGCTGTGTTAGGTACTGAATTGAGGAGATAGGTGGCATGGAGCCTTCCCAGCAGTTGCAAGTGATGTACTTTTTTCTTGGTTGATGCCATTCATATCTCTCATTCATTTCTTGGCCTTTTTAATATTTTGTTGTTTATAATTTTTATTGGTTTCTAAGATCTCTTTTTATACTAGGAACATTAAATTCTTAATAGTTATATATCATGTGTATATGTATATGTTCATATACATATAGTAAGGATTCCCTTCTGTTTTTTTAAGTTTTTATGATGTTATTTACCAATAGGTAATTTAATATCCTGTATGGGTAGTAAAATGTGGCATGTTATTTTTTTCTTTTATGGCTTCTGGGTATTTTGCCACACTGAGGAGGGTCCCTACCATCCAAGTATTATTGAAAAATGTTCTCCTGCAGTGTGTCCTAGGACTTTTATAAGTCTCTCTTTATCCAGTTAAAGTTTTAAAAATAAACTTTTTATTGATGTGCAACACGCACACAAAAGTGTACAAATCGTAAGTATTTGTTTCTAGTTAGGTTTGTTTAGAAGTTTGAAAAAATATACCCTTTTAATATTTAACAAATGTATAATGCACATTCCATACAATTTACCTATTAAAGTGTACCATTCAGTGATTTTAGTATATTTATAGGGTTGGACAACCCTCACCGCAATCAGTTTCAGAACATTTTCATCATCCCAGAGGGAAACGTCTTACTCATTAGCAGTCACTTCCCATTTCCCCTCAACTCCCTAGTCCCTGGCAACCACTAATCTATTTTCTGTCTCTAAAGAATTGCCTATTCACTCTGGTTAGCTTTTTAATCCATCTGGAATTTATTTTTGTGTCTGGTGTAGAATTCTAACTTTTTTAATCAGAAGGAAAAAATTATCAATTGCTAATAATAGTTGAATTGAGTGAACGAATGGATTAATAAGTAGCCCAGAGAGACAGGAATTCAGAAATAGAAGCAACCATATATGAGTGCATGGTCAGTGACTGGCTGCATGGAGCAGATAGTTTAAGGTGGGCCTTTGAAACACAAGTGAGATTTGGAAAGCCTGAAAAGGGAAGAGGAATGGCAAAAAAAAGGATGCGGAAAAATGGACCATGAGCTTAGAGAAGGTTGAGGAGGCCAGTGTCTCCGAGGCAATTAATATATGTAAGAAATTATTACCTGTAAGGCTGGTATAGGTAGTCTGCACCCAGCCTGTGCAAGTCCTTGAAGATTAGGTGGAGGATTTTGCATTTGATCCTATTAGCATTAAAGAGCATCATGAAAGTTCTTACAATGAAAGTGAAAAAAATTCTCTACTTCTACTTAGAAATAGAGAATATGGGGAAGATTTGAACTTTCTCTGTACAAATGAAGAATCAACAGCAGTCTCTCCTGGTACCCTTTCATTTCCTCGTATGGTTCTCACTGGTTGAAAAACCTTATTTACTTATCTATCTCTTTGTTCCTCATTTGTATTTGGG